GCTTCCCCGCAGCCTGTGCTGGCAGAGGGAGGCTGCGGCCAGGTCCGGCGTCCCAAGCCCGGACGCCATGGAGGAACGGAAGTTCGTTGTCCTGGATTCAGGAGACCAAAACCATCCTGTTACCCGCTGCGTGCCGCAGGCGTTGGCATCCTCACTGCCCGCCCAGGCTGCCCTGGGCTGTGTCCTGGGCTGTGTGGCCAGCAGGGCGGGGGAGGGGATTCTCCCCCTCTGCTCTGCTCGTGTGAGACCCCACCTGGAGTGCTGCGTCCAGCTGTGGAGCCCTCAACATCAGAAGGATATTGACCACTTGGAGCGAGTCCAGAGGAGGCCACGGAGATGCTCCGAGGGCTGGAGCCCCTCTGCCATGGGGACAGGCTGAGAGAGGTGGGCTTGTTCAGCCTGGAGAAGAGAAGGCTCCGGGGAGACCTTACAGCACCTTCCAGTGCCTAAAGGGGATACAAGGAAGCTGGGGGGGACTTTTTACAAGGGTCTGTAGTGACAGGACAAGGGGTAACGGGTTTAAATTGAAAGTGGGGAGGTTTAGATTGGATATCAGGAAGAAGTTCTTCCCGGAGAGGGTGGGGAGGCACTGGGACAGGTTGCCCAGAGAAGCTGTGGATGCCCCATCCCTGGAAGTGTCCAAGGCCAGGCTGGATGAGGCTTGGAGCAACCTGGTCTAGTGGAAGGTGTCCCTGCCCATGGCAGGGGGTTGGAACTGGATGAGCTTTAAGGTCCCTTCCAACCCAAACCATTCCATAAGAAGCTTGGTCTGTTGTACTTAACACCCCCAAAAAGTAGACGTTTGTGTGTAACTTTAAAGATCCCAGAAGGAAAAGCTCACCTGAGCAATACACATTAGCAGCGATTTGTGGTTTTCAGCTAGTTTTAAATTTCTGTGTTTGAGCTACATCATTTTGGTATAACGAGCTGTGTACGATTTCACTGTGATGTAATTAGTAATTTAAGGACTAGTTGCAGTGGATCGCCTGTGTGCATGTGGGAGAAAAGTGGAACTTGGAGGAGAATGGTTTTCTGGGAATGCATTTAACTTACTCCCAAAAGCTTCGTGTACCGGCAGCGGTGTGGCTGCTGCTGGCGGGGGCAGCAGGATGGAAAGCTGCACTGCTTTGGAAAAGCCCGTGGAAACCCCCGTGGAAGCGTTTAAAGAGCCGTGGTCACATTGGGCGAGCAGTGAGGCAGATGGAGTGGGAAGGCCCGTGGATGCCCTGTTTCGCTCCGTAATTCGGGAGTTCAGCAGTCAGAGAGCGGAGCTGGTTGCGGCCACGTGCCGCACCAGCGCTTTCCGCCGGGAAGCGGTCCAGACTCCGGATAGTCTGCGAATGGTCGTGCCGTGTCTCGTGTGCAGGTGGAGAGTCTGGGGCTTTCTTCTTCCAGCAGAGGTGGTGCTCAGCAGCAGCCTGAGCGTTTTCTTTTTATCGCTGGCAAAAGATGGTATTTCAAAGGTTTTAAGGTTCGTATACTTGGAGTAAAATCTCCCTGTTTGTTTTGTTTTTCCGGAGTTATGGAATTCAGGGTACAGGTAGGATTTCTGGTTCTCCACTGTTGGCATGGCTCATGTTACCTCATGTTACCTCTGAGCTGGGAGAGAGGAAGATCCATTTTTTTCTTTTGGTGTGAGGCAGAGGGGAATCCTGGAAAGGGGTTTTGAAGAAAAGCAAAGCTTAGATCCTCTTTCCACCACCCTCAGGGGTTTGTTTGGGGTTGTTTTGGTGGTGGTGGTGGCGTGTTTGTTTGGGGTTTGGTTTGGTTTTTCCCCACAGACAAATGCAGGTCTGGCTGGAAACCTCAGCCGACCACAGCGCAGGGTCAGAGGCAGTCAGCTGACAGACAAGGCGCGTCCACGTTACGGCGGTTTTGTTACTGGGACAAGGCAACGACTTTTTCTTCAACTTTCCTGCTGCTGAATAACATTGCAGACCGAGGCCTTGGTCCCAGATGAAGCGTGTCTGCCGTATTGGGTGGATACGGTCCCATCGTACTTGCTTGGAGCAATCCAGCAGGCTCTCCTTGCCAGAAAACAGGAGGTTTTCCTGTCGGTTCCATCCCTTGCCCCCTCCCATCTCGGACCGCCTTGTGTCGTACAGAAATGGATCCAACGCCAAAGGAAAGAACCCCAAACCATCGCAGTGCAGTGACAGCCATCTGTCCTGAATTGGTGCCGCAGGTTGTAACTGCGTGTTCTGTTTGAGTTTGAACCGAGGGCAGGGGCTCTTCCCCACCCCACCCCTCCCTCCGCAGTGTTAGGGTTCCCTGTAACTACTACAGTAATTTGGTTTTATGAAAGGAGGAAAGATGGGGGTACAGGAAAAAGACAGTAGGGACACCTTTCCTTGGGAAAACGAGCGGCTTACTACAGATACAGTCTTGATCTTGATGGTTTTGCTTTCTGATGCTAACGTGCAGAAATGACCAACATGGAGCTGGTGAAAACCATAGCAGATGCTTGGAAGGAGTTACCCGCCTCGCAGAAGCAGGTGCGTTGGCATTTCTGCCCTGTGTGCTCTGAGCCCTGTAGAGTCTGGGGGGCCGTTTCACCTCTGGGTTTTGGTGTGTGTGTTGTGTATGGGGGGTTTGCGACAATGAAAG